GGAATGAATCTTAAGCGTAAATTCAATCTGGGAAACTCTTATCAGCTGCACCTGAACCACTTGCAATGTCCCCTTCTCATCTCCGGCCAATCAACTTGGGGGCCGCACCTCCAACACCAATCATTTTTCAAGATTCCTTTTATTTAGCTCCTGCCCTAGCTTCTCTCTCCTGCATGCAAGTGAAGTTTCACCCACCTCCAGCCCATCTCCTCCCTCATTCTCAGATTATTATTATGTTACTTACCCTCTGGCTTATTCCACCACCAGGGAAGGACCACTCTAAGCCTTTTCTAGCTTAGTCATCCAAGCGAATGGATGAGTTGGGATTCGGCTGGGGCCCCTGCAAGTGGCCCCTCCTACTGAGTCTGGTTCTGCTGGAGGTTTCATCCTGTTATAAGGGAGTTTTACTTCTCCACTGTCACTACAAGCATGCTTAGTGTGAGGGATTGCCTTCAAGTCAGTGATGGAATCGATGCAATCAACTGGTTTTCCTTAGATAGAAAACTTTGAATCAATTTGACTGTATGGTCTGGCTTGCATGTATAAAGTGCCTTGAGATGACATGTGTTGTGAATGGGTGCTGGGTCTTCCAATATGTCAATGACCCAAAGTACACAGCCAGGATAACCAAGGAATGGCTTAGTAAGAAGCAGATCAAGGTTCTGGCACGGCTTAGCCAGTCTCCAGACCTAAACCCAATAGATAATCTTTTTAGGGAGCTCAAACTCTGTGTTTCTCAGTAACAGCCCAGAAAACTGACCAATCTAGAGAAGATCTCTGTTGAGGAGTGGGCCAAAATCCCTCCTGCTGTGTGTGCAAACCTGGTGAAAAACTACAGGAAACGTTTCACCTCTGTAATTGCAAACAAAGGCTACTGTACCAAAAATTAACATTGCAGTTGTATCATACAAATTAATAGTTAAAAAATCATATATTCTCCTTGCTGGATTTTTTTTTACATTATGTTTCTCACAGTGGACATGCACCTACTGTCAGGGTTATGTTGAGGTTTGAGGACCCAAATGCAGAGGCAGGGAGGCAGAGGTGAGTTTCTTGTAGATTTAATGAGTGATCACAGGTATCGGTATCGGCCATTGAGGCCAGAAAAAAGAGTGAATCAAAAATACAAGGCAAAAATCTAGAAATAATTAAACATTTCTTAAATTAAGTGTATTTACCCTTAATTTTAGCAGGTAAATAAGATGATTTGCCAATGGAATAATTATCTCTACTCTTAAAATAAAATAATTTGATAATATGCAATACAAATAAGACAATGCATTGTTTTTTTTTTTCTTATTTTAAATGTAAATTGTCTTATTCCATTGGCAAAGTGTCTCACCTACCAACTCAATTCAAGAAATAATGCCCTTATTTTAAGCAGAAATAACTAATTTCGATTTCCTTTTTTTGCAGTGTGCAGATTGTTGCTAGCGTAACTTGGCTGTAAATGTTTTGCTCTAACTGACCAATCAGAGGACAGAAAATGCTGATTTTTGGTTGGGCCCTCTAGCTGGCCAAGGTGGGCAAATGTGAAATCTGATTGTTTGAAGAAAACGTTCCTCACGAATATTGATCAGACAGCACTGCTGATTCTAAAGGGGAAGATTTGACTAACATAGCAATGCACAGAGGTTGAAAGGGACTGATGGGACAAAAAAATAACAACCACATAAATGTAATGGAAGCAGCACAGCCAAGAGAAACGCTACAAAATTAAGAAAATTGATTTTTAATAAATACAGTTGGAAAGAAGAAAATTAGAGTTTAGTTTTTGAATGTAGGTTAGTGCTTCTGATTGATTCTAGGCCAGAGGTGAAGACCTTAAAGGCCCTCACAGCCTACCAATACTTTCACTTACAGACAGTCCCCTCTCTGTGCCTCTGTTCTGATTTGCATATATACTAAGAAGGTTTTTTGTGTATCTTTGCTAGAAGAAGTTAGAATTACCGTAGGACTGATCAGGTATCGTTCAAATGCGGCGCTCTTTTCATTAAGCTCTAGTCCGATTTGAGTATCTAAACATTTAACACAAACAGAAGCCTGAAAATAGCACAAATTGGACTTTTAGGATGGATGGAAAGTCAGAGGTGCCACAAACTCAATTATTTAAATAGGTAATATTCAAATTTGGAAAAATAAAATTTCAATGTCAGATTAATGAAACTATAACTGTAATAAATGAAGAATATTTTAATCATATACCTGTATTTAGACTATTAGCCACTTTGAATGAGATAGTTTTGCTTTATGGCCATATTATGAAGACATCAGGGTTTTTTCTATTTCTCATTACAAATAAAAGTAATTCTTATTACATGAAGTTCAGTCATAATACTTAAGGTTTGTGATGTGATCCACAACTGACTTATTTTGTGCTTTTAAAAGGAAAGCAAACATTTATTTAAAATACAAATTTTTAGGCACGACTTGAAAAAAAAATTATATTATTTAAATGTTATATTATATGTTAATAAACAACAGAAGAGAAGACTACTTTAGTAAATAGTATAAAATAGAGAACATGGAATTTAAGCTATGATTGTTTAATACATTGTAGTTTTTATGGAAATGTGGATCTTTAAATTAATTTGAGAAGGACATTTCTCATACTTTACTGTGAGATGAAACGTGGGGCTCTGAATGGTCTCAATTAAGTCTCGGCCCCTGCAGGACTTGCCTTGTCTTAGTTTGACTTGGTCTCAGGCCAGGAGGTCTTGACTACAGCCCCATTTCAATGTGCACTAAAACTGGCCAAGAGGAGGTTAACTCTGGCTTTACAAAGTTTGCAAATCTTTAAATCTTCCATTTATTTAAGGTTTTAAAGCTTACATCTGATAAGATGTAAATCCTATTGGAGGTGACAGGATGCAGTTCAGCTGATCTACTGCTTTCCGAGGAAATTCCAACACATTAGTTCAGTTCCATTTAACAAAAAGTACGAGCCTAAAACTTGGTTCAAAGTTTGTAAGTACCTTTTCTTGGTGCCAAACCGCGGCAATGATTTGTTTTAACTGCCAGCAAAAAGATTAACCTGAATGGAAAAAGGAATAACAGCCCCCTTGTTAGTCAGAACCTGGTTAATCAGTGCCTAAAGAGAAAAGGTGGTTTATTTTGCTGGGCTTTTTTTCTTCCTTCCTTTTCTTTAACATCCATAAATAGGTGCAACCTCAGCCTAAGTCTCCTTGGTAACCAGCATGAGAGTCAGGTAGAAAGACTTTCCTGAACAATACTTTAATCACTCCCAGACCTTCTTAAAGCAAGAACACTGGTACTAAAGACAGTGCCGAAATACAAAAGATGTAAGTATAGGAAGTGTTCAAGGCATGCAAATCCAGAAATGCAAAATAATACTTACTTAATACTTATTTATCATATTCATAGTATCATCAGCTGCAATCGAAGAATTAGGTTCCCCTTCCTGTCTGAAAAGGCCATTTAAATGACCTGACACATTTATTAGCAGTCCTTATAAAGATGTGTGAAAAGCTTTAAAGTAAGCAGGTTGGCATAGAGACTTGGTGACCCCAAGAGGCCACTGTGCTACAGTTCTACAGCATGAAGACATTTCCAACCCCAGTACCACCCTCCACTGTGCTTCCAGTTGTTTTAAACCTTTTACTGTTGCCCTGCAAGTAGATATAATCACATTTAGGCCACATTTTCTTTCCATTTTTTGACATATAAGGGGAATTTGTTGGACCTAAATGTTTCTATAGTTCTATAACGAATGATCAAAAGAGAGTATTTTTTCTATCATATATACAGTATGTGCCTCAAAGAAACTACAAGATAAAGTATATTCATTGTTTTAAAAATGTATTTTTATAGAAGAGATGTACTCAAAATAATGATGGATATTATATATATACTTTTCACACATCTTTAATCGGAATACCAGTAATTATGAACGGTGCTGCAAGGCGTAATAAAAAAGAACCAAATTCACCAAAAACCTCTGCTTAAGCTGATCAATAAATAAGGCATGTTTTAATTCAGCATCCAGAATGAAACATAAGCAGCTTCTTGTTAAAATACACAAAGACACACAGATGATTCAGCATCTATTGTAAGACTAACATCTGACACATTCTGGTCAGAGGCTACATTAAAGTGTAGAGAGCTAAAAGCAAAAAGGAACCAAGACACAAACAGTGTCTCTGTTGAACATATTGAACGCCTCACAGCCAGGGAGGTCAGACACTCTGATAGTGTAATTAAGGTCTTTTCCAGTGTACGACCTGTCTTCCCTCTTTTATTTATTTATAGATGGTCTGCACACACACACACACACACTTGTACATACTGCATTCATCCTGTTTTTACACTTTAGTTGCTGTTTTTACTTTTATACTGTGGGTGATGGAAAACTGTACTCCTTGTTTGCGACATAAAAGGATTAACTTGAACTTTTCAGCAAATATCCTTTAAGACTTTTGACACCAGATCAATTTACAAAGAGTTTTTCTATTAACTGCAGTACAAAAGAATATCATCAAGGGAAGTGTTATATCTTTCCCAACTATAATCATATCAACTCTAGTTGTTTTTCCAATTTCAGATTTCTATATAAATGCAGTGCAAAAATCATGGGGTTTTTGTTATTTTTTACTATTCTATATTGTTGTTTGATTCTTTTTTTTTTTTTCAAATACCTTAGACCATTTTTCAAGAGGTGTACCAACATTTAAAATGTACCTTTTAAACTTGTTTTTCTCTGGAATTCTAGTTAGGCTTTTTTTTCTTATTATATTTATTATAACAGCAGGGTCTTTTTTTCAGATCATAGCTATAAAACAGTCAATATTTTCCTCCAGTCTGACCTGACAGAGACCAACATGAAGCTAAAGGAAGCTAAGTAAAAACATTTCTCTCTGATAAATGCCTTCCTTTTTCAGTGTTTTTTTTTACCAGCTTAACCACATACTGCCACTAACAAGCCTTTTGTCATAGAAAAGCTTAATCAAAACCTCACAGGTTTGACAAAAGAATGTCCCTACCTTTGGTTGATGAGAATGACCCATACAAAGCTCCGAGCGATGTCACAATCAGCTGCTGTTCCTGCAAAAATCAAAAACATCCTCATTAAAATTGACTTTTATTGAGATAAAATAAAAGAAGGAAGAATAACTAAGACTAAATGAACAAGATATGCCCTTTAAAATCCACAATAACCTAACAAGAAAACCTGCACACGTCTGTTTAAACAGTTAGCAAAGCAAGTAGACCAGATAGGGGAAAAGATGAGGATTTTTGCCAGTGGAACATAAACACAAACCGATTTTTCACGACATGTGCACCCAAACTGGTCAAACCCTGCAGCTCCTGAGTGGATTGTGTGTGAAGGATCAGAATTTTATTCAAAACATTTAGGAATATTTAATCTAGCTTTTGAACATCAGTTTTAGTCATTATTATTATTAAGCTGAGCTGCTTGGTTATATCTGCATGTCTACACTGTCAAACAAAACAAACCTACTTTCAAATGTCCCAAGAGGCACATTATTAAAAAATGAATGCAGCATCTAGCAGCCTCCTTTAGCATTAGGCCGGTTAATATTTCATGTTGTTTTAGAGGTTGGGTTCTTGAGATAAAACAGATATGAGAAGCTGGAGTTCAGTAATCCTACTGTGTGTAATCTGGATGGGTTTTGTCTCTTTTGTTGATTAAGGAAAAGTTTGGGAAGCTCAAGATTCCCTAAGCTTTTTAGGAAACAAAGCTGTTAGAATTAGGGGAAGTTTCCAAGGCTGGAGTTGTAATGAGAATCCCTCATCAACACAAAAGCTTTGAGTTAAGTGTAGGAACTGTGAATTTATGACTGAATTTAGGTCTATAAAAACTCTTCTACTAGCTGATCTCTCATACACAGCCTCTAAAGAGACAGAGAAGTGAGCAAACAGCTGCTCAGAGAGGCTTTTAAAGAGACTATGATCAATTAAAAAGCTATTTGCTCCTCCGATCAGCAGCTCAGCGACCTCCCATCCCTCCCCCTACAATCTGAATGGGTATCGGAGGTGTTTTCCAGCCCCACCTGCTCCTCCATACCCAGGAGTCAGACCCACATCCTCACATACATCCTCTACTTCAGGGGTTCCCAAAGTGGCAGACAGTCGGGGGTCATTGTGATGTGATCCCTCAAGTGTGGAGGGCAAAATATATAAAAAAATGCATAAATGTCAATGCCCAATAAAATGAATAAATGTACTATGATACAGCTATGGTAGATGTAACATTTATTTATTTATCTAATACATGATTCAAACATCCAAAGGGTACCATTAAATTGTAAAATGCACAATTAAATATTTAAATGTTCAAATAATAAATCAAAATTACATTTGAAAATGAGTTGAAAATGTACCATTAAATTGTTAAAACGACATTCAAAAATTATGGCATTATTCATCATTTTCCCATTACATGCATAAAAATGATCAATTAAAATAATATATTGTAAATTTAAAAAGTTTTAAGATTGTAAGATTTACGCTATAAATGGCCCATTAAATAATTACACATACATTACAAAAAACTTTTTTTTTTAATGAATGTGAATCTTCACCAGCATACATATACAAAAATAATAAATTAATGGTGATTTAAAAGAATAAATCAATTCAGTTAAAACTGAATGCAGTTTCTTTACTTTGTAGGTGTAGATAACTATAAAGTGAGGCAATTCTATGTTCTTTATGGGGTCGCCAGTCTGTGATATTGTTATTTTTGGGGTCAGGGGGTGAAGTATTTGCTCTACTCCCTAGCCTCATTCACAGTCCGATGGGCAACTGAAAAGCAGCCAAGCAGAAAGATCCTAGGACGCCCCTCTGATCAAAGAGAAAAGCTACACCTTATTTTAACAAAACCCACAAAGCTAGAGTTAAAGTCAGACCTGCTGGAACAGAAACCTGGCTGGGTGTGGATGTTCATCCGTTTTCCCTGTGAAGGGAACCTTTCTAAGCCCTTCCAGCTTAGAAAACAGCTCCCACATTTTGGTTTCCCTGTTTTAACACTGAATAAAATCACATTAGAACATGTGAATTCTTAAATAATCTTGAAACACCTCTACTAAACTTAACAGCAGGTTTGTGGAAAAACAATAAATTCAAAAGTTACATTTTCTTTAAGCTTATAGAAACTACTTGTCAGGAAAATCCTTCTGACTAGTAAGAAAAAAAATCTGAATATAAATCTGCCCTGGATAGGGTTTTACATGAGAAAAGTAGCACAGAGATCCATTCCAAGATTTAAAGCAGATTGTCTTAAAGTTCTAGTATTTTAAAGAATGATCAGGTCTTTTTCTGTATTCTATTCTAATAATGTGGATCTACGCAGTGCACCTGATCTTCTCCCCTGGTTTCAGGTCATCCATTACTGTAACAATGTCCATAAAGGCTAGGTAAAAAAAATCGATTTAATCGATTTAATCGATTTTTTGGGGGGGATTTTGGATCGATCTCTAGGGAATGAAATTGATCAGTTTTATAGTGACACGCATGACGTTCACATTCAAATGAGCAGGAAAGATGCACTTAAGATTACGTCAAGCCAGACAGCTGCAAATATAGCAAATCGGTTGACTGAAGACATTAAAGGAAAATTCCGGTTTTTAACACTTTTAGCCCATTTTCTGTAGTGTCCAGGATGAAATCGAATGATCGACACCAAAATTTTGACGATTGGTCCTGTCTCTGCTATTTGGCTCATGCAGAATCCCCCCCTGGCTGCTTCAGAATGGCTTCCATAGTGCATGTCCGATAATGTCCTTAAAACAACCTTAAACGTTCTTTTTTAAAAATATGCTACTCACTTGGTCGTCAGCGCTGTTCAATGACGTTCCAAAAAAAGTTTTGTGAAGAAAAACCGTTCCTGTAGTGTTTTATTTAGCATTTTGTAAATCCCATTGAGTTCTGTTGGAATAGTCAATATCCCTCCGCCACCGGAAACGGAAATGGGGCCTGTTTACGCTTAGTTGTAGTCTTTTCGCAAGGCCCAAGTGTTTCTGCTTCACTCTGTGTACTCCGACGTCGAGGTGCTAACGTCTCTGTTAAACACTTTAAAAAACTCTGAAAATGGAATACGAAAGGTGGATTCTTGAGGAGGACATATTGGACTTTGAGTTTGACGGTAGAGGATACCGTCGCCAACTAGTGGTCTGGAGTGTGCAACGCTTCAGATTCGAACGGGAAGCGGAAGTTTATAAGCGGTTGTGATGTATCGGAAAAAATTGTTCTGGGATTTACAAAATGCTAAATAAAACAAGACAGGAACGGTTTTTCTTCACGAAACTTTTTTTGGAACGTCATTGAACAGCGCTGACGACCCGGTGAGTAGCATATTTTAAAAAAAGAACGTTTAAGGTTGTTTCAAGGACATTATCGGACTTGCACTATGGAAGCCATTCTGAAGCAGCCAGGGGGGGATTCTGCATGAGCCAAATAGCAGAGACAGGACCAATCGTCAAAATTTTGGTGTCGATCATTCGATTTCATCCTGGACACTACAGAAAATGGGCTAAAAGTGTTAAAAACTGGAATTTTCCTTTAACAAATGGGGGCTGACCAGCAAACACCCTGTAGTTGTTACAGACAACGCTGCACAAATGGTTTGTGCAGTGAAGATAATGCAGCTCATGCATGTCTCCTGTGTCCCCGCTGTGTCACTTCTGCATGCTCGGGTGAGGCTTCACTTTTTCACTTTTTAAAAATAAGTTTGCATTTTTGAGACAGTTTTGTTCACATCTCAACTTTAAACTGTCTCAATTACAAGTTTGCACTTTGTGTTTAATATGACAGGAAAAAATTAAAAACATGAGTATATTATTTAAACATAGTTGAACCACTTTCATTATTGTAAAAACAGATTAAATCGAAATTAATCGATTTAGAACTGTATGAATCAAACTCGAATAGATTCAGGACTTTGGCGAAAATACCCAGCCCTAAGGTCCATAGCTGTTTATTGATTACTTATTCTCCAGATACACAGTATTTATATTGTATCAACACTTTTCTAAGGTCCACATTGTGTGACCACTTTTGCAATAAACTTTTGCTGCTGCTGTAACACCAAAATATACCCACTCGTGGGACACTAAACTGATTTTCTATTTCTATCAAAGACAACCTGAGTTCATATAAATAAAGGTTTGCAAATCATAAGTTTATAAAAAATCTGGCAAATAAAAGTAAAAGCCACATCACTGATTTAAAAAACATTTCCCCCTAAAACTTTATTAAAACCTCTATGTCACTTATGTCAAAGTCAAGGCCCACAGGTAGGATCATAGAGCAGCACAGCAATGCATTTTCAGTTTATAATGCATGTGTTTTTATTTATGCATTTATCTTAATAAGTTTATTAATATAATAAAAGTGTATTAATAATATTGATATAAATTTTTTTTTTAAACAATGTGTTAGGTCCTGGTTCAATGGGCTATGTTCATTTCAGTATGTTTTAATAAACATTTAACCAGTCTGGCCCTCGGCTTGTAGCAAATTAGCTTTTTTACCCCTCAGTGTATTTGACTTTGACATCCCTGGTCTAGATATTAACAACTCGTGTCTGAGATAAATAGTGATAAGAGTATTTTAAATCAGTGTGGACCTATTTCGTGTCAAATTTTATCAGTTTGAGGGTTGAACCAGCCTGAGAAAGCAAACTGCCTGTGATCGGCTACTTGGAAAGGATATCCCCCCTCTTAAGATGGCGCTATTTTCTTTCTAGCTGAAACTAATAACATAAGCAAAGCATCTATAGACTAATCGCTGAGGATAGAGTACAATTAATTTTTTTTATAAACTTTAAAGGGTGCAAACTATATAAATATTTATTTTTGGTTACACCAACAGAAAAGAATTAGATTGAGGTTGATGGAGCAGTTGATTAGGTTGATGGTGCTAAAACATGGCTTCTTCTTGACGTTACTCAGAGTCAAGCAAATTTAATATGAGGCATAACGAGGGTGAACATCTGTCAAACTTTTGGGTTTTCATGCCGACTTGAAGAAGCAAAGGTGCTCAGAAGTCAGGCAGAGGTTTCCACTTTCCTGCTGGACAAA